TGTTTTTCTGGAAACTTTCCCTCTCTTGATCACCAACTTGCCATACCTCTCCAGTCCAAATTATATCCCAATGTCCTCACTATAGATCCGTGTCAGGTAGATCATTGAGTTGATGTCTCATTCACTCTTAGCATACAACTTGATGTAATTTATGTAGATGAAGTAACTGATAATAGTTCCACTCTTGAACTTGAATCTATATCCAGTCCCTGTGATTATCTGGCTAAAGAAGTTCAAGTCTCTGCCGAACAGCAGTGGAAACAGTACATCACCTTGGTAAGTTCTGCATTTGATGATCACTTATGTGAACTGTCTTGAGCTGATTTCCAATATTGTCTTCCATTGTCCCATTGAGTTTTTGAGGGAAGTCCTTGGTGTCCTGTTGATTTGATATATCCCCAAGTATTCACATATCCATGTGGGTGGCATTAAGTCGTAGGTTTTCCTGTTTACTGTTTATTAAATTTATAGGCCGCCCAATCCCGGAGGACTCCGGGCGGCTTACAGAAACAAAAATTAAGAAAGATTAAAAACAGATAAAACACGACAAATTTAAAAAAGACACAACATGCACCCAATCTAAGCGGGGCTGGACCTCAATCCAGAGGTCAACAGCCCCAGGCCTGCCGGAATAGCCAGGTTTTAATAGCTTTTCGGAAGGCCATGAGGGTGGGTAGAGTCTGGATCTCTGGGGGTAGCTCATTCCATAGGGCCGGAGTGGCAACAGAAAAGGCCCTACTCTGAGGCATCGGCAGCCGGCATTGTCCAGCTGATGGCACCTGGAGAAGGCCCATCCTGTGTGATCTTATCGGTCTTAGGGAGGTGTGCGGCAGAAGATGGTCTCATAGATATTCGGGTCCTAGGCCATGTAGGGCTTTAAAGGTAATAACCAGCACCTTGAATCATGCTCGGAGACCAATAGGAAGCCAGTGCAGCTCGCGGAGGATAGGTGTAGTGTGGGTGTACTTAGGTACACCCAGTATCGCTCACACGGCTGCATTCTGGACTAATTGTAGTCTCCAAACACTTTTCAGGGGCAGCCCCATGTAGAGGGCATTACAGTAATCCAGTCTTGAGGTGACGAGGGCGTGAGTGACTGTTTGCAGTGCCTCCCGGTCCAAATAGGGCCGCAACTGCTGCACCAGGCGAACCTGGGCAAAGCCCCCCCCCCCGGTCAAATCAGTCAGGCTGTACTTGGTCTGTCTAGATTTGATTCTTGGGCAACTGCTCTACCTAGGAGCATCTGATGTTTGGAGCATCTGATGTTGTTCTCAATGCTCTTCTGAGCTGAGCTCATATATTGGCCCATATGGTTCTGTAGTTTGGTGGCCATAATGTATGATAGAACTTTATATGTTGTGTGGAGGCAGGTTATTGGCAAGTGGCCATTGCTGTTCCCTGGTGGGGATCTTTCAAGATCAACATTGTCTTCCTGCCAGTCTGGGTGGGAATCCGCTGCTAGCTGATACATTTGTGATGCTAGGCATTCATGCCCTGCTGTTACTTTCCTTAGTCAGTTGGTGTGGATCATATCTGGACCCGGTGCTATTCAGTTCTTCATGTTCTTAACCTGCTGCTGAATGTCTGCAATTGTGATGGTGTCTGGTTCTTGTTCTGGAAGACTGCTGTGGTATGCTGCAGATCCTGCAACCACTTTACACTGATGTTTTATGTCTTCTCTTTCTCCCATGTTCTTCCAGTACTGTTCAGTTTCTGCTAATGGTAGCTCTGTTGTTACTATTATTGCACTTCAGTTGGGAGCACTTTGTATAGTTCTTTGGAGAACGAGTCTTCTTGACCTCTGCTTCTCTATCTTTTAGGCCTGGTAGCCAGTATTGTAAGCCGTTGTTTATCCATCTGAAGGACTTCAGATAGAGTCACGCTTTGTATGTTTTCAGAAGCCTAATCTTATCCCTAATCTTTATACCTTTCTGTAATTCCACCAGTTAACTAGCCTCTTTCAGAGTTATCTTAATTTTAGCCTCTAACCTCATTTTCCAGAGAGTATGTATTACTGTTTTTCTAGTTGTGAAGCCAAATATAGGATTACAATAACTGTAGAATATACCAATTCATTCGAGTTATTGTGATGTCAGGGATTGTTGTGAAGGCTTCTAATAGATTATCTGATGGTATTTCTCTACTGAGCTTTGGTAACAACTCTCAGGAGGTGATTGTAGCTAGTTTATCTGTGATCTTATGAGGGGGTGAAAATGACATTCCACTTCAGGTGTTGGCTATATGTCCAGTTCTTCTTCCAAGTCTTCTTGAATTTGGGATGTAATGCATAGCTGATATGTCCAAATTGTGAGATAGATCAGCTACATGCTTCACAATATGTTGAAGTGTTCGGTAACTAGCTTTTCTGTGTAGTTGAAGTTCCCTCATGCATTTCATATACTCCCTCTCATTAGGTCTATGTTATGGTAGCATTCCATCAATTCCAGGTTCTCTTGTCATCTCCATTAATGGTTTGTTTCAGTAGCCCAACTGTTATCACATTCTCCTATTCCTCAATAACTAATGTGGACCGTGTGAATCCAGATAACATCCATGCCAGCATGACTCTTCTAGTTTATATAACTCTTATTTTGAGATAGACAGATGAAGCATTAGGGTTTATTTTTCCAAGGACTCCTACTGGTAAGAAGGTACCAGCCAGGATTGGAACACCAGTCTCTCATATCAACAATGGTTTTCTATAAGCTATCCAGCTGTTATAAAGAACTCTTTCATCACTGATCTGGCTATGATTCAATATACCGGTTTTTAATTAATAAACAATTGTATCCATCGAGGGGGGGGGGGCATGATGGCTCAACTCTTAAAGAATCTGAGCTTGTCAGCTGGAAAGCTGACAGCACAGGCTCAAGACCTGGGCGGTGATCAACAAGGTGAACTCCTTGCCCCAGTTCTTAGCAGTTAGAAAGCCTGCAAATGCAAATGAATAAATAGGTATCACTTTGGTAGGAAGGTAACACTGTTCCATGCGCCTCGGCATATAGTCATGCTGGCTACATGACCATGGAAATGTCTTTGGACAATGAAAGCTCCCTCAGCTAGGAAATGCAGATGAGCACTGTCCCTAGAATAGGATATGACTGGACAGAGGAAACCTTCTTTATATCCATCCATATTTTAATAGAATTGATTTGTTTTCATTAAAATGCTGAAGACAAAGTAGATAATACTTTCTCATAAAAATTTCATCCAAACATCAAGTCCTTTGCTGTAGTTGCAGAACGCCACTTACTTCATTACGTTTTACAAAGCTTTTAGTGGCAAGTAAGAGAAACATCATATTGCCATTTGCTTTCAAATCAGTATATTCAATATCACATAAAATAAATCTGTATTTCTTATGATGCCTTTACAATTAAAGTAGCAAACACAAAGGACACATCTACAAATCAAATTTAAGTGCCTTTTTAAAAATTCTAGCTTGTGGAATGCTAAATATACAGCAATGTAGTGAATCCGTTTTTGGTATTTCCTAGAAAGAAGGAATCAGTATTAACTTACTGCAAGTTTATGTTGCAGACTAGATTTGGTATTATTTTTTGGCTTGCTGGGAGTTTCAGGAGATACAACCAGTAATATATATCTTCTTTAGTGAAAGGTTAAGACTTGGATTGTGATCTTAAGTTTGTGAAGACCATTTCTGTACAAAGTTATGTATGCATGGGGAGGAGAGATACAGGCGTTTTTAAGCAATGTAGTTGGTACTACAAAACATTGGATTTGTCTTTAAATTTACATATATCACCAAAATGGAAGAATGTTGGGACTGTAATGTTCAATTTTGTTCAAGCTGGAAAGGCGATCAATGGAAATTAGTGTGTGAGTGTAGGTGTATAGGCAACCCACATAGTGCTCAGATTGCCCACTATTGCTGTAGATATGAAATATCACTGGTATTCTAATAATTACAATTACTACAATTTTATTATTATCTGGAAGCTAAAAATGTTAGATATCTGTTTAGTCAAAACAGTAACAATACTCAGCATTTCCAAATGCGTTGGAGCATTATAAGAGCAAATACATACAAACACTGATATTCACAACACATTTTTTAAGCATCTTTAATAACATGTCTTATAAAGAATGCTTTAAAATGATCAATTCATATTATTTGGGTGCAATGATAGAAAAAAGTACTACTCAAATAACATTAACTTCAATTTCATACAAGGCTCATGGTATTAAAGAATTGGGAACATATAATTTAGTGAGATCTATGACCCAAGGGTAATTAAAGTGTAAATGGAGATCAAGGGTAGTTTATAGAGACCCAATTTTCAAACATAATGTTTAGGAGTGCTGATTTTCCTTGAATGCATGTTTGTAAATACATGAAGATAATTCAGTGAAAATGAATAGAGAGACATAGAGCTATGAATAACTGCAAGCATTCTCTCAATCTTGATAGAAAGCTTATACAAAGAAAAGCATCCCTTGAATTGAGTTTGACTTCCGGTGACTTCAATGCTGAGTGCTTGACTGGTGATTATTTTTTTTCAAATTTCCAGGATCTACAAACTTGAAATGTCTTGATCTTTTATCCAAGAACTAATCAGGTCATCATGTTAGTATTTTTCTAATTCATCCAAGTTAATTTATTATGGGAGGAAAGTGTTTGTCATAGACATTGCAAATACAAGCTGTAACTCATGAATTTTAACCAAAAGCATAAAAATAATATTAAACAATAGTTTTATCTTTTACCAAAGTGTTGTTTTCTCTTTTTCTTAAAATACTATTACTAGGTCTGTTTGTGTACTGTTTCTACTTACAGTTAACATAACCATGCTCTCTTGAATAAACCACAACTGCCAGGGTTCATACAAAATGCTAATATTATGGCTATATATATCGAGGGCTGCATCAGGGTTGTGTTTGAAATCTGGGGGGGGGGGGGCAGAAGGGGAATGGCCAGGGTGTGTGTGGCCAGCTTGATATCACTTGTGTCGGGGGCACCTGTGGTGGCCCGAGTGCTCTGCCAGCAAAAACAGGCTCTCGAGCTCCATTTTCGATTGCAACAGCCTCCTGCAACCCTCTGCCAATGAAACGGATGCGGCCAGATGCAGCCCTTTCAAACTCCATTTTCGTTGGCAGAGGCACCGTGGCCCAGTCCTCCAAGTTCCCTGTGGGCCAGATCTAAGCGTGTTCTGGATCCTGCCCATGGGCCTTGAGTTTGACACACCTGATTGTCAGAATCAACCTATAGTTTCACTGATATGAATTCACAGATTTATGTCAATGAAAAGTATACTAATTTTGTTTTGCTTTAGGAGTTTATAAAAGATTTACTTACATTTTGCACTTCTATACCACCACCTCCCTCTCCCTGCTATATCAGAGTTAAGGCTTTTAAGCCCAAAATTCTGGTTTTCACAGGACTGAATTTGATACTCAAAAGAAAGTTAAAGAATAAGATATCAAAGTCAATGGTCTTCCCCTGGTTTCTTTATGACTTCAATTCAATTTGCAACTTGCATAGCAAGGAGTTTGAAATAAAAAGGAAAAAAATGTACCTATTAGAGTAAGACAATTTTGTAAAATCTGCCTTCTCTGTCTAAATTTCTTACATGCTTGAATTCATACTTAGTGCTAAGTCATACACAATTTCACAGGCATGTACGAATAGCAATGAAGATGCCAAAATTATGAAATATGTGTTGAGATCTCTGCCTTTTCATATTTATCTTGCAATGGTGAATGAAAGTATGTAAGGGCTGAAGTTTGTGTTGCAATATTTTGATATATGTTTCATCACTGGTTCTGTTTTGGCCCCATGGATACCTACGTCTGTTTGCCATTTATCATAATATGTGAACAGTCAGTAAGATAGATTCTTTAAAAGCCTGACTTACTGTATAATGATGGACAGCTTTTCTATAGAAAATGTGAATCAGCATTGAGGAAATGGAGAATTTCCTTTAAATGGTTAAATCTGTTTAATTGTTATCTTCAATTGTTAGATGTATGCAAGATCACTGAAATGATTAATTGTAGATTATTTTCTTCATGCACAACACATTATAAAAGAAATAGCAGCCTTAGTATCATAGTGCTAATTAACATAAAATCATTTTTGCCTTTTATTGCCATTATCTTAGCTACAGCAAAATATTATCAACTGCCTCTCCCTCCCCAATTTCAAAGTACCTCCATAAGGGTGTAAAAGTTATGTAGATGTGTGATCAATGGGAATCACGTAAGAGTTCCAATTCCGCTTGTTACTAAAGCTCCACCTTGGGGAAGGTGGCTTCTGAGGTATCTTGCAAGGAGCTTCCAGATATCTGCAAATCAAGTAAATTTTGACTGAATTTCAAGCATGCTGATGCTTGAGCAGCAGTCAGTGTTACCAAAAACATCAGTAAGAAATAACAATAACTAGAATCTATTATCATGTTTGATCGTATTAAGATAATTTTATAAACTTTTATTATGTTCCCCTAAGTCATCTTTTTACATATTAAAAATTCCAGCTTCATAAATATTTCTGTTATCTTTCTCTAAAGATTCTCTCTCATATTTCTTCTCAGATAATATTGATATAATATTAATATAATATGATACAACTGAGCTGTATGAAATATACTTATGATATTCTCTGCTTTATTTCAATACATTTATTAATAAATACGAAGATGACAAGCAATAAGTTTTTTCTTCTTAAGGAATACCCTACATACTTCACAGGTAATAATGATAAGAAAAATAAATGCCATAAATTGTGTATGCATTTTTTTACACCCCAAATAAAAGGAACTGAATACCTGATACAGAGCCAGATTTGGATTCTGAAGATCTATTGTGGCAAGAGATGGCATGCGAGACTCTGGAACAATTTTGTTTTCTTTCTTTAGAAATCTGGAATTCCAAACTATTTATGAAGGAAACATTTGATTTTTGTTTAACAGAAGTTACTCTTTGCAAAAGTACCAGACTCCCTAAAATGTACAATGCTACATAGGACTTTTTATTTTGATTTGACTGTTTCAACTATTATTTTCTAGCCACTGATTTATAATAAGGTGAAAAACATGTGGCCCTCCTCGATTGTTTGACTACAGTTCACATTATCATTGCATTTGGTCATGCTGGCTTGGTAGGAAGATAATTGAAGCTTAACAGAATCTAGACAGTTACACGGTATCTTTTAAATGAGTTTTTTTTTCAAGTTTGCTTGCTTAGAAATATTTAGCTCAAATATTTTCCATTCCCTTAATTAAAAAATTAATAAGGACTAAAATAATTCCAGACAAATGGGCAGGTTAATATCAACTACAGTCATCCACATCTGCAGCAAAGACAGAACGCATGTTTATTATGGGCTGAACATCTGTGCACAACATATGCATAATGAATTTTAGGATATATCATGTACAGAACTTGCATGCATAGAAATGAATTGAAAAAACACTCTAAAAATACAAAACATTAATGTTTCTAGTTTAGATAGAGTAGTTAAAATTTCATCAATATTTCGATTTTGCTTAGAATTATCACATTTCAGAAAAATGTAACGGGCAATGATACATTGAGCTGTACTTTTTAGCTTTGAATGTTATCATTATTCAATAAACTCTGAACTATAAAATGTAAAAGACTGACTTCTTTTATAAACTTTTTGCTGAAAGTGGTTAAAAATGAACAAATGATTTAAAAGGTTTGTTTATTAGAAGGAACTATAATATGCAATATGAGATGGTAGAGATGTGATTGCTATGCTAACTGCTTACAAAGGAGACCAGAAACTGCTTCTTCAGGTATCTTTCTTTTTCTTATTCTCTTGATAGTCTTTATCTTTTCTTTAAATAGGTTTATATGGCCGCACAATGACTTTCTCCTTCTATGTTTCTGTAGGTTTTAAAAAATCTTTTAATAAAAATTGGTCATAAACATTCTAAAACCATACACAAATCCTTACCATCCACGGCTTTGAGTTCAGGGAGATGGCTGTAATTAAGCTCTGGCAAATGGACCTCTGCTTTAGAAAACTCCCACTTTTTCTTGAGGGACTGAAGAGCATTGTTTTCTTTTGGCATCTATTACCAAGCAAATAAAATGTGAAGGTTTTGCAAAAAATAAAGTCTAAATTGAAACACTGTATGCAGAGATTATATAAGCAGTAGTAAATATCTACTATATCGTATACAAATAGCACGCCCACTCTCAAACACCAAAAGAACTTTCACCAACAAAATAGAGAGAGTTGGGGTATCTGCAGAAAGAAGTGATAGCTATTGAAAATATAATGTTGGGATATTGGCTGGGAAATAATGCTATGGTGAAATCAGTTAAAGTTAAGTTAAATCAGGCTCTTTTTTATTAAGAAAAGTTGAAAGCTTGAGCAGCATCTAATAGTAGGAGATAAGACTTTCTAGGTAAAAATAAAGTCTCTCCCTGTTAAGAAGACACAAAAAGAAAAAAGCATTAATTGCAAATTTGTAACTGAAAGGGATTATAGAAACTCTTCTCTTCCCCCCCCCCCACTACAAATGTTTTGTACTTGAAAAAATGCTTATTTTTTTCCCTTCTTTCTTCCTTGTGTTTTTTTCTTCTACTTGGTGCTGTGTATGTTTCACTATAGGTTTGCTGGTAGGATTCCTTTATTTTTATTGATTTTATTTAAATCATCGGAACATTTTTGGCTGATGAGTATAGTAGAATATTTTAACTGAACAACAGGATATCAAAATAGCAAGGAGATATAACGTGTTAAGAGAAAGGCCCTACTTTCTGGTGCATGTGGAAGAAGTATAGGGAACTTCACTTCTAACGCTTCTGCCCACTTTCCAAGATATATATTTTCTAAATAGAAATGGGTAAAGTGTAAAATGGGTAAAGTGTAAAGCTCATCCTATGTTTTCCCAAATTCTCACAAGATGCGGCTACATAAATGCCAAATGTCAGGAACGCTCAAATATTTTCGAAGAGAGCTTACCGATGCTGTTAAGTTCATATTATAGTGACCTGCTGGTGATTTTTTCCCTTGCTTGATACAAGGATTCAAATAAGTTTTGGTTTTCTCATCAATTCTAGAAATAAACACACAGACAATGGGCATCCTTAAATTTAAAAGCCAGGTCCAAGACTATATAATTGAAAAATACAATTGTCCCAGACTGATCTACAGGCAGAATAGGTTGAGACTTTGCAGAAATTAATTAGATCTACATCTGTGTTCTGGATCCGGTGTGTAACCATGCCAGGGGCCCAGTAAGTTTTCAACTTCACGCTTTAGGATTAATGTCTCTCAGATCAATTTATTAACAGGAATTCTTAGAAGCAAACATAAAGTTCAATATTAAGATACATCTGACCTTAGATCTGTCCATTGTGCGATGTGAAAAAACTATGCTTTTCCATTTTTCTGATGAAGCGGGGGTGAGGAAACATGCGTTTATCCCATTGTTCTCAATTAACACCAAAAACTCTTCACAGAGCATCTGGTCATAAATCAATTTTCCCGGGAGGAGAGAGGCCCAGCATCCAATTAGGGAACACAGATGTGGTCACATGTCATGGAACTACATTTCCCACAAGGCATCCCTGCCTATATTTCCCATAAAGGATTTGTATCTCCCATGAGGTACTTTCTTAAAGAAGACATTCTTACAATAGTTATATACTGTTGAACTTGAGTCAGCACACTCCCCACCTGGAATTATAAATTCCACTACTTACTAACTTTTAACTAAAGGCAAACAAAAATATGGCATAAAAAATGCAAACTTGATTATCTAATTAACTGAGTTACACAAGGCATAACATGACTAGCTAATTAACTGAGATAAACAAAGGCATAACATCAAACATGTAACTAACTGACTAATTATCCGAGCATGCAAACCTAACTAACTGATTAACTGGTTACACAAGGCATAGCATCAAACAGTGCAAACAATCATGTAAACACAAAGCATGCAAAGCTTGAAGTTCAGTCTTCCGTAACAGGTCGCAGGTCGCAGATTGACCTGGTGTAGAGCTTCTTGGTGGAAGTCTGCTTTGCAACCTGAGCTTCCATTTGGCAAACTAGTTCATCATTACTAGGTAGGGCTTGGTGCACAAGTCCCATAGGCCGTGAGTTCCAGTGGACACAAGTCCCTTAGGTCATAAGTTCCAATACATGTCTTTGGGAACGAAGTTCCCTGCTGGTTCCCAGTCACTTGTCTTCTGGGTCAGTAAGGTGGCTGGGATGAGGACAGTTGGTTTTTCAGGATCCAAAAACTCTGGAACCAAGACTTGAGAGTTGATGACGGCTGCCCCCTCTGCCACGAGGGTGGTGAAGACGATCACTGCTAAGCCCAACATGAGAGGCTTCCGGCTGGAGAGGTGTTTGAAACGAGTTGGTTCTTGGGACTGGTTGATGGGTATTTGTGGTGCTAGTTTCACCATTCCCCTGATGAGACTGATTGTTCTCCTCGCCGTAGATGATGTGAACGTTTTTCTCCCCGCCGTGGACGATGTGAACGCTGTTCTCCCCGCCATAGACCTTGATGTATCCTACGGTTGCTATTGCCTTCGTTGTGGCGGTAGGCAAGATGGGGACGTACTTGTGCTGGACAGGAACTTTTTGGACAACTCAGGAAGGCATACCACATTTGCCATTCTTGCTTCCGTTGGTTGTGCTGTTTGTCACTGGACCACATGAAATATAGATAGCTTTGATGGTCTTCTCTGACAAGGAATAAGTAGAACATCTGCTGGATGTTGTACAGGATGGCTTTTGTTTCCTTTCTGAAGTGATTAAGCATGCTGAGCAGACTGTTGGTGAGGTCAGGACCTTTGAGAAGCACTTTGTTCAGAGAGGGGCCTTGGGATTGCACGCTGGTATTGAAAACTGCTCGAATCTGGCCTGGCTCTTGTGGTTGGTACTTTCTAAAGGATAGCAGGTGGCAGCATTCCTCATCAATTCTCGGAGGTGGAGCAAGTTCTGCATGTCCGTTCTAGACTATTTTGTTTGGGAACTCCATTAAATGAGCTTTCATGTTTATGATTTGTCTCAGATTGAAGAGGCGAGAGAAAGGTTGCTCATAATTATTTGGAAACCGCTGTCTTGGTAAGCGAAAGGGTATTGGAGCCATCCAATTCTTGGTGGCCTCCTGTTGGAATTCCTTGACCACGAGCCTCAGAAATTCTTTGTTCTCTATCAACAAAGTCAAGTCATTGTCTTCTTTGCTGGTCTGGAACACTGTTGCCCCTAAAACTGGTTTGATTGAAGAAGTCGTGAAGTGTTCTTGGCATGGTTTCAACTGAGATGCTCTCCCATTACTAACAATGGAGGCCGTGAAGACAGTCGCCTGGGTTGGGACTCCTAGCCTATCTACACACACTGTTCCAAAGATGACCCAACCGAGTCTTGTCTTCTGGGCAAATGGGGCATCCATTGGGCCTTCAACTACTTCCTGCAGAAGAAAGGCTGCGGAGGCGTCTGCTCCCAGCAGGAGCAGGATTTTGGCTTCAGGATCTAGGGGGAGGGGGGAGTGATTGGCTATGTGTTTTAGGTGAGGTCTCTTATTCGCTAACTCTGGTGTCGCAATCTGGTTGTGATCATTTGGTAGGTCGTCCCATTCTAGTAATGGCGGCAATGGGAACTGTGCGCTTCCGTCTAATGCTTCTATGCAGAATACTTTGACTTCTCTCCCCACCGTGCACTGGGACCCAGTGCACCCTGATATTGTGAATTCTATCTCTTCGCTTTGGACATCGAAGAGATAAAAAAATGCTGACCTTGCTAACGACCTGGTGCTTTGCCCATCCAGAATTATGTACATCTTCACGGCCTGTTCTGGGTGTGTCGCAAGATAGACTTTGGCTAGGCAGATCTTATGGCATGTGCGAGGCGTGGAGGAATCACCACATACTGTGGTACACCTGACATACCTGTGTTAGCTTCTGGGTGCATTTTAGTGTGTTGTGGAGGGTCAGTCATTGGTCGATGCATCACCATGGAGTTTTGATGCAGGGCGCCAGGGTGTCTGTTACTCTTGCAAAGGTGACATTGCACTTTGGCTGTGCACATTTTGGGTATGTGCTCTGTGGAATCACAACATTTAAAGCAGATTTGGTAAGCTGATTAGAGCTTTCCTCTCTTCCATGGGCTTTATTCTGAACACTCTACATACGTTCAAAGGGTGGGAAGTTTTGTGGAATGGACAGAATGGGACTTCGTTGTTGATAGTTTAATTGGAACTGCCCTTGGTAGTAGCACATCTGGCATGTTCCTGGTGGAGTTGAAGACTTGGATTTTGCAGGCAGTCGCAAAGGTTCTTTCCCTTGTGTCTCGTATGGGATTGTTAATCGGTCCGTGGTTCAGAACATGTTTTTTGCTCCCTGGGGACTCTGGACTTCTAAAAGCTTGCGCTTGGGAATCGGTATATGTCATTGTTTGCTGGTGGACAAAATCTGCAAGAAAAGCAAAGGGGGGATCTTGTCTTTGATTGTTTGCCTTGTAATGCGAATAAACTTTGATCCGTTTTTCAATTAACAGTTCTGGTAACTTTCAAATGATATGTAGCTGCATTGCGTATTGGTCGAGGCGTGACATACCATTTAGTTTGGGGGCCTGTTGAGCTACCCATAGTTGCTTAATGAGTATGGAGAATGACCACAATATCATGGTCGTGCCGACCGATATTAGGGAAATTGTTGGTCTGCTTCAAGAGTGTGTCTTCGGTCATCGCAGATGTGCCATACCACCGATTAAGTTCTTCCCAAGCCTCTTTACAGGCTGTGACTGGATCCTTCAGATAGGTGTGGTAGATACCTGTAACCATTTGTGCAGACTTTGGGCCTAGCCAGGCCATCATATGTAGGATCTCTCCATCTGGCTGTACGTTCTCGGCACGAACAGCCCTTAGGAAGATATGCTTCCATATTCGATAGGGTTGGCCTGGTGTGTCAGAGAACTTCTGTGTTCCTTGAGATCCCAAGTCCACCTTCCTCCAGCAGGACTGCCATTCTACTCTGGTCTTGCATGCTGGGGGAAATGGTACAGTGTGCTCCAAGACTTTGGTGGGTTCAGGCCAGCGGTCTCCTGTTGGTTCAGGCCATTGCGATCTGTGGGTGTAAACACGGTTGCCGACAACAGCTGATATTTTCCTGTGGAAAGATACTGTGTGGCTTCATCTTGCCACAGCGTGGGCATAGGTTGCTTTCGATGTTGCTCTGTCAGTTGTTCATGTTGATTACTCTGTTCGTTGATGTTCAAGTTGCCTTGCCGTATTGACTGGAAATCTTTTGCTTTGGCATTGAGGTTGCTACTTGCGGCTACTTGTGTTCCTACTGGTTGAGGATTATTCGCCATCACTGGAAAATTGTTGTGGGCACCTCATGTGGCTGGATTTGTCGGGGTAAATTCTCCCATTCCAAGGGAGGGGTCAAGTGATACAACTTGAACGATGTGATCCACCTCATTAGTTTGTTGGTTTGGTGATTGTCTCTGTTGTACCACGCATTAGTCGTCTATGTAAGCTTTCACATGTGCATCAGGGGTTTCTTCTTCTAGATTTCCAGGATCAAAGTCAGGGAAGCCACCATCAGCCTCAGCATGTACAGCTTTGGCCGGTATTAGTCTTCCTTTCGCTTCCCGCTAGAATTGAAGATATTCTAATCGAACCTGAACTTTAACTTTCTTAGTTGCCCTCTCTGCTTCCGCAGCTGCTCTCTCTGCTTGAGCTCTGGCTTCTGCAGCTGCTCTCTCTGCTTAAGCTCTGGCTTCCAAGATTGCCATCTCTGCTTGAGCTCTGGCTCCCAAGGTTGCCATCTCTTCCTTCAGCAGCTGCTCTTCTTTAGCTGTCTGTAGATCTGCTTTGGCCATCTCAGTTTCCATTTGTGCTTTTGCAACTAGAGATGCCCATGACCTTTGACTGTAATGGGAAGATTGTTGCGAGATGCTGCTACCCGCTCGAGATTGGATTGATTTTGGTTGGAAAGATAAGGCTATTCTGGAGATGTGGGAGGAAGCTGCTTGAGACTGCCATAGTAACCTGTGTGAACGATGAGATACCACAGATGTGGCCTCTCCTCCTTGTGTATCCTTGGGACTAGATGAGGACGCTTTCTTAGAAGCGTGAGAGGAGGCTTTGTGTGGCCGCTGAGATGATGCATGCGAAGGATGAGGCACATCGGACTCAGCCTTCTTGCCCAGGATGGTCTCCCTCCTCAGGCTGGTTTGGATAAGACCTTTGCCATAACGAAACTGCTCTACGTATTCCTTTTTTAATGTCTGAATGAAAAGCATTTTATCCTGCATTTCTTCATCATCCTTTAGTTGTCTCTGGGTGTTGCAGAGGCATTCTCCATATAGTGTCCCTTGTGCGTAGAATACATCCATGTCCTCACTTAAGGTTTGGAGATGTTCAGGTGGTAAATTGTCTTTGAGTTCATTGCAGAAGTGTTGCAACCACTCCCAACAACTCTCGTACCTTTGATAGACGCTGTCCCATTCCTCCAAGAGGTTTGACTGCTTAATCTGTGTAGGCTTTCTGTACTGCCTAAGGTCATAGGATATCTGAGGTGCCTCTAACCCTTCTGCTAGCTGGACATCTAAATCTGAGCTTTGGTCAACTAATACCGAATCTGTATTGGGTTCAAGCATGGGGTTCGGCAAGTCTGATCCTTCTGTCATCATCACTAGAAAGATTCAATAATTCTATGACCAGGATTAATTCAGAGAATTTCTTTAAATTCTTTGAGTTCCATTCACTTGTCGGCCCTAGGGGGTGCATTGCTGTGCTTGCAAACTCAGGTTATTCACGTGTCAGCCGTTAGAATGCGTTCCGATACATTGCAAACACAGGCTCTTTTGTTGACCACCAGGCTGCGTTGCGATACTTTGCAGACGCAGGTGCAATTCACTTATTAACCACTAGGGTGCGTTGTGGTACTGTTTGGAGTTATTGGCAATGGCGTTATCCCTTCTGAGCTCACCCAGTTCCTCTTCAGCTTTGGCATTCCTAAGGGATTTTCATCCAAACTCGGAATCCGTCTGGTGACCTGGCTGGACGTGGAATTTCTCAAAGGGCTTGACCGGCTTTCAATAACTCATAAACAAAAGGTAGCGAAATAGCAAGTTGCACTTGCTTACGGCTTGTACTCAAAGATAAGCTGTATTTTTGGCTGGACTGCAATTTGCAGATGGCCCACTGGAGGTCACTGCTTGCATACACAGATTGAATTGTCTTGGGGGTGATGGGCCCTTTATGGCTTTCATTGCCTTGACAACATGCAATAAAATTTCATAGGAATTTGGTCTGGCTGACTCTCACTCATTCAAATACCATTTCGATGGAAACTTTTCCAAATGCTATGAAGCTGAATTACACGGAGGGAAACTTGAGTTTTCAAATAAGGAGAGAGAAAAACACGCTGTTCTTAATTCTGTAGGAAACCCTCAGTAAGACATACAGGCCTTTCAGGGTAAATTGATCTTGCTTTGTCATGCAAACTAACTCATTAAAGTCTCGTCTCACTGTTCAGGTTCAATCTGGGTCAGTGTTTGAATAGAAGACTGCTGACATGAATTAATATTGAAGTTGTGATGCTATATAGTGATTATGTGGTAACATTTGCTAATAACTAGGTAAGAGTTTTCTTTTCCTACCTCTTCAACCTTCACTCTATAATGTATATACAGTTATAGGTCTTTTGTTCCATTACTTCACAATTGAGTGTGTATTTTTAAACAAATACTAACTATGAGGCGTAAACGTAAGAAAAAATACTGTTGGAGCAATTTCCAAGTAGGATCTTCATCCTATTTGGAAATAAGTACATTATAGCTATACAATAGAAATAATGTAATAATACTAATGTATGAATTGGTCCTTAAGTAACATTAGATAATATGCAACAATATATATTTTCTAAATACTGATACCAATTGGATAGTTTACTCTGATTGTGTACCTGTAATTATGGCTTGCCAATGTTGTCCCCATTGTGGGGGTCCCATCGATGCTGGATTGTGTGGTGGAATGATTCTGTGCAATGGGAGGAATTACTATGCTTGGATTCTTCACATATTCTAGGCTACTGCTTGAATCCTTTAGATATATTGGAATTGTATTAAATTGTCCAACACTGTTATCATACAGGAAACTCATACATGATGATCTTTCAGATTTCAGTATGTCAGCCTTAGATACTTTCATTCTGAATAGCTTGGAGTTTTTGAGCTTTGAATTAACACCTAGATCCTGTTATAAGACACAAACCAAATACCACAAATGAACTGAACACAAGTGAAAATTAAAAGGCAGTGTTATATGAAGGTTACAGAAAACTGTAATTCTGTCAACATTTGCACCTGTCAAACCGGCCTTCCTCAGCAACCAAGAAAGAAATCACTTAACTCCATTTTGCAGAATTAAGAGTACTTTTACTGGTTATGAAAAGATAGCGGGCTAAGCAAAGCAAGGTCTGAGGCAAAAGTGCGCAAAATCATACATATCAATATTTGTCCAACCCCCTCCCCCCTCCTGGTAACCCCCATCCCATTGTCCAATCTGCAAATCCCTCAGGCATCATGTGGGTTTCATCTCCAAGGAGCATCATCAGGTTGGTATGCAGGATGGTTGGCTTTGACCAACTCTAAACACCAGTCTTCAGCATGCGCAGTAGATGGTGAGAACAAAACTCCCTTTTAACAATCTCTCCTGTACCAAATATTCCCCTCCCAAATACCACCACCCCCTTTCAATGGCAGCCGAAAGCAAATAGCGAAACAGAGGCTGACATCACCATTTAGTGACACTAGGAGAACTACATGGGGAAAAATATTATTTCTATCTGCAAAAGGCAACCAATCACATCCAAATCCACAGTACTGCTATATATATGTACAATTATCCTGATCCAACTATGGAAGAATTCAGCTTCTATTTTATCTCAATGAAACACAGAAAAAGTCACATTTATAATAAGAATTCGACAGAGATGGCAATAAATCGAGTCTGTTGTCAAGTGTACACTAGACAAACAGCTAACGCCAATCATGGTTCTCGAATGAGTTTTCCTGCATGATAAATACATAAATTTCCAATTATTTCTGTATTCAAATTGTCCATCATCATCTGAGTCAAACTTGACAGCGAAAATGACAGCAAAAAAGTTATTTCATTTCTGAAATGCAATTTCTAAACACTTCTGTATGCAGGAGTTTCTATGGTATACATATATATTTGAAAAAGTCTTATATTACTCTGGAAGAACAATTATTAAGAATTTCTCAGTAACAAAAAAATCTTAATACAGTGTCTGATTTACTACAAGAATTATTCTGTTTATTTTTTAATGACATTACTTTCTTTTGTCTACTTTTCAAATGAGCTGAATACATTTGGGGTGGGGGACATTGAGGCAACAAATATTACCCCTGAGAGGAAAGCTATATCCCATTTTGATGAGAAAGTAGTTAGCTTTGATGTTACCTCGGACTGGAGGACATTGGAAAAGTTAACATTCATAAATCAGCAGGCCTGGATAAATATCCCTGGGTGTTTTCTTAGCAAGTATCCAGATGAATTGGTTTGTATTCTTACAAATATTTTTACTTTTTCATTGCAGCAGCCAGTGTTTCATCATGTTTTAAAACTGCCACTATTTTGCAAGTGCCAAAAAAGTATTTAATCACGTTTGATGGTTATTATCCAGTTGCAATTTTGTCAATCATTATGAAATGTTTTGAAAGACTGATAAAATACTTTATTGTATTCAACCTCCTTCCAGCATTTGAGTCACTTCATTTTTCTTATCATCCAAATCATTTCACTACTTCTCCATCTGAGCTTGATGCACTTAAGAGTAGTGATGGTGAACCTTTTAGGAACCAAGTGCCCAAACGGCAATCCAAAACCCAGTTATTTATCGCAAAATACCAACATGGCAATTTAACCTGAATAAGGTTTTGCTACCAAATAATTTAACAACCAGTTCTTCCTAATGACTGGGTGGGCATGGCTTGGAGGAGTGTCATGTCACTGAGTAGGCATGGCCTACTCATGTGAGTGGTGCCTCTATGAGACAGGCAGGGTTGGGGAGGGAATCCAGGTGTCTCTGGTGGTACGGTAAAGAAAGGTAGGTGTGTGTGAGAGAGAGAGAGGGAGGGAGGAAGGGAGGGAGAGAGAGAGAGAGAGACAGACAGACAGAGAACTGCTGCCCCCTTCTCCCTCTCTGTTCATGCTGTTGGTGATCCCATGTGAAGAAGGCAGCTAGCAGAGAAGGGAGGTTGCAAAATTGCTGCTTCTGGAACGAGAGGACCCGGGATATGTCTGGGAGGGCTCTGCGTACCATGTCTGGCATACGTGCCATAGGTTTGCCATCACAGACTTAGAGGAAAGAAATATTCATGTGCGAATACTGTTTGTCAATTTTAGTTCAGCATTTAATATGATTATTTCTCAGCATTTAGTAGATAAATTTAGCCCTTTTAGGCTTAAATACTCCTTTGTTCAACTGAGTTCTTGATTTTTTTCATTGATAGGCCCCAGTGTGTGTGAGTTGGGACTAATATTTTTAACCCCATGTTCTTGAGCACATGTTCTCCTCAGAGCTGTGTTCTAATTCTGCTATTACCCTGTTGACCCATGATTGTTGTGCAAGGTTTGCTATCAGCCATATTGTCAACAGTGAAGAGCCATTTCTCATAGGACAGATTAAACGTGGCTTTAAAATAATTTTTATACATATATTCATATACAATTGTAAAGAAGAAAAAATCTAGAATTCCACAAACCTGGATTAAAAGCATTTTTCTTTCATCACCTATATCATCTTTGTCCTTTTTATTTATTTTTGGTTTCTTGGGTACAGAATGTTCTTTTTCTTTTTGAATCTTGACTTTAAGTTCTTGAACAAATCTTATGTTCCATGTTAAAATGAGAACATAAAAATGAAACTTTTATTAATAAGCAAAAGCATTTATCCATCACATTCACATTTAAACCCCCTTCTCTTATGTTTCTATTTTTATTAAACATTTTTAAAAAACATAAATTAAAAACAATCTTTATCATATTGGTAAGTAAAGACATTTCAATATAGTTCTGGAAATACTGGCCTTTTATTTATCATTTCTTAAAGTAGCTAGAAATACAATAACAAATAAAACTGCTACTTAAACAAGTCTAAAGAAAAATATAGGACAATATATGTGACTCACGGCTGAACTATGGCGTCCTTGATGCTCTCTGAGCTTGTGTGTACCAATGATTGTTATTCATTCAGGTAATGAAACTGCAAGCAAACAACTAAGCTTAGAGGGCATAAAGGACTTCACAAAACTCTGTAAAGCTATAAACTTTGACACAGACCTAGTGCTGAGTGCTGTATACCAGTGGTCCCCAACCCCCGGTCCGCGGACCGGTGCCGGGCCGTGGAGTACCTGGCACCGGGCCGCGGAAGCCGGGTGTTTGCTGTCCCAGGCGGCCCCGCTGCGGGGAAACGGAAGCCCCGAGAACAAAACAGGCGTCAACGCAGAGAACGGGAGCCTCGCAGAAACAGCCCTTCGGGCGCTTCCTCTGCAGCCGGAAGCTTCAGCGGCCAAGGCGGCTCCGCTTGAAGAGGCTCTTCGAAGCTTTTTCCGGCGCCGAGAGGAGGGCTAACCCGCCCTCCCTAGCCAGGGCTCCGGCTTCGCCACATGCGATGCTCGGCGCATCCCCCGCTGCTGCATGGCCTGCGAACCCCGGCAGCTCCGCTTTCCGGCTGCAGCGAAAGCGACAAGGCACCTGCCGAGCGGCCCCAGCCCAGTTGGCAGCGGGCATACGGTCCCAGTCCAGCCAGCCTCATCGCAGCGAGGGGCTCTTGGGGAAGCCGCCTTGCTCGCCCCCCGACCGGCTAATTTGCAGGGCGAGGCTTCCCCGGATGCAGTCCCGGCGACTTCCCTTCGGCTCGTCGGAGCTGCCCCGCGGCCAAGAAGTAGCTGGGAGGGCGGCCGCGGCTCCCCTGGGCGAGGCCTGACCGTGTCTCGGGAGGCGCCCACGCGAGCACGGCTCAGCCGGCAGCCGTGCGGGCCTCCGGAAGCGCCGGCGTTCCTCTTCAGTGGGATCGCCGAGAGGCCGAGGGCAGAGCCGCTCCCTTCCTCCCCATGGAGCCCACCGTGGGGAGGGGGCGAGGAGGGAACCGCCGCCCGTCCCGGCAGGTGGGGGCGGCGGTTCACCGGGGAGACGATCCAGAGGTAAGCACGGCTGACGACCACGCCCGCCCACCCACCTCCTTGCGGGCCACTTTGGCCTCGGCGTGCCGGAACTTGGACACCCTGAACAGGCTCATGCACCTTTCCCCGCACCTCTGAAGGACGCCGACCAATGACCGCCCTCTGGGCTAGTGCCCAGAACCGCTTCGCGGGAGCCCTGTGGGTGGAGGGGGTGGGCAGGCAGGGGCGCAGGGGCGCGAACAACGCCCCCCCACCCCTGCGCGTGCTCAGCGGGCCACGGTAAAATTATCAAAGGCTGACTGGTCCGCGGCGATAAAAAGGTTGGGGACCACTGCTGTATACAATGGCCATCTTGGGGTTTCTCTGCTGTCATTCTGTGGGGGTTTCTGATAGCTGAACAGATATTTGTTATCATCTTGCTTGGTATATTATGTTTTTGTGTTTCTCTTTAAATCTATCTGATAAAGTTAATAAAGCTTATTTTTTATCATGTATAAATTATACAATTATTTCAACAGGATGATTGCAATCCTATGTTGCGAAGTTTTGATTTGCTGGTCAAAACTGAAATAAATAAATCAACTAGAATACAAAAAACAGATTAAAAATTATAGGTAGTCCTCAAGATACAACTGATCACTTAGCAACCATTCAGTTACTGCAGTTTCTCCCAAAAGCTACTCATTTCAAAGTTACAGTTGCTGAAGCATTCCAGTAGTTATTCATCCTTATAACTGCAGGAAGCTTCTTCATCATTTGAGCTATTGCCTGAGGGAATCATCATACTTGGGGCAAGTCAAGTGGACCTGTGCTAGGCCTTTCAGAGCCTCTCCTATTCAAGACACCCATGATCCTCTTATTGATCTGCACCTTCAAGTCTGCACCAGGAAGAGCAAGGGTAATTAAGCAAGGTCATCTGTCTTAATGACCATAATGACATGCAAGCTTCATTATGGCTATATCTCAAGGACTATCTATATGGATTTAATACCATGTCTTTTTTGCCCGTCCCCAAATTCCATTTGTTTTTTAGTTAATGTTAGTTATATACTCACATGAATAACATAAAGATTTTCGCATATAGATTTCCACTGAAACTACATTCCAAGAAATCAGCAGGAACATTTAAAAAAATTCTCTCTGTAGAGAGAAACACTGAGCACTGAATACTGTTTTATATTGTTTAATTGTTCATAAACTCCATGTTTATGAACAATTGAACACATATGTGATTATCAAAGATGTGCAAGAGACAATCTCTAATATGAATTAAGAATCATTTGAAAGGTCACTTCCTGTTAAAAAGAAATTATGGGTATTATTCCGGTTAGTCATATAGAACAAGCACTAAACATTTGATAGCAAACAAAGAGCAACTAGTTTGCATTTGATACAGAAATGGAAGAAATAAAATTCTTCTGCAATGAAGAATTAGCTGGTCAGATCATGTCCTTTGACACTTTGTCTTCCCGAGTTGTACTTAGACTAAATCTGTTATCAGTTTTCTGAGTTTAAAGCTAAAGGTTCCCTTTGCACATGCGTGCTAGTCGTTTCCAACTCTAGAGCAGTGCTCATCTCTGTTTCAAAGCTGAAGAGCCAGTACTGTCTGAAGACATCTCCGTGGTCATGTGGCTGGCATGACTAAATGCCAAAGGTGCACAGAACACTGTTACCTTCCCACCTTCCTATTTTTCTACTTGCATTTTTACATGCTTTCAAACTGCTAGGTTGGCAGAAGCTGCGACAAGTAACAGGAACTCATTCCGTTACGCAGCACTAGGGACTCCAACAGCCGATTTTCTGATCAACAAACTCAGAGTCTTATGACTGAGTCACCGCATCCTCTTTTCTAAGATTAGAATGTAGCAAAGAAAAGGAAGCAGATAAGAAGTGTCATTATTCCAATCCATGATTTTCACTTACTGACTGTGTAAGTCTTTTGCAGCTCCAGAAGCAACCAATATCTTGTATATGCTAAAGGGAGAATTTATTATATACACAGAACTTCTCATTATTCTTTCTTTTTAACAGATACTTTGATAAAACCAGAAAACTTACCTTTCAGCAAACCCATCTCTGGTGAAGAGGTTGCATTGCAGCAGTTCATTACAAGATGGCCTCTTTTCTGGATTAGTTTGCAGGCATTGCTGAAGTAAGATTAAAACTTCATCTTGTTAAACAATGGAATCATACAAAATGATTCAAGCTCTATTGAACAAGACACAATATCAGTACATCCAATCTACATACTTCAGAAGAATATAGCCTGGATTTTATGAAATCCCTTTCATATTATATATATATATATTATATAACAAACCATTTCTGAAGCAGATGGACTTTAAAAAAAAGGTATACAATACAGTGGATATTGGGAGGAGAGCAATGATAGAAGCTAAAATGTCAAAAATTCCATTGAGCACTCCAGTCTTTTAAATCTAAACTAGCTTTTTGTACTTTTGTAGTTAAATGAAGCAAAGCAATCTAGCATTTTACAGAATATGTTCAAAGGGTAATCACACAAACCTAATCACACTATTGCCAGGAAGAAGTTCTATATCTGAAACTAGGACACCACATCACAAAATATAAAGTAGATTTTGGAAACAGTACAAAAAATTGAGAAAATTCTACTCCCACTTGAGGCATGAAACTGGACTGGGTATCTTTGTCTCAGTTACTCTTCCTTCAGCCCAATCATATCACAGGGCTGTTATAGAGGAAATAGGAGGAGGAAGAAATATTAGGTATGTTCATCACTTTGAATTATTTATAAAAATAATAAAAGCAGGATAAAAATCTAATAACCCTAATAAATCCTCTAGAAAAGACATTCAGAACACACATTAGCATCTTAAAAAAAAAAAAGAAAATAGAGATGTTTCTCTAAAAATATACAGGTAGCCCGAAACTTACAACTATAATGGAATCTGCCCACTAAGGTTACAAGCCATTGTTAAGTGAGACTATTTCGTTCAAAGACTCCAAAATCAACCATATACCAATTGTAGTCACTAACTTAGTGTATGGGTCATTAAGCAATGTCCAGCATGAGACGCCATGGGGATGCAGGGGAGGGTCGGCACAGGACTTAAGTGAGTTGGACAGGATGTTGAAGTACAGCTCAAATGCAAGGAGACTGGGAAAGAAGCCCAGTCTGCCCTGGAATGGGAACACCAGCTCTCCAGCCCAGCCTCACTCAGGAAGGGGAAAGCAGAGACAGGAAGATAGAAAGCAGGTAGATCCCAGGAATGGAACAGCCATTAAAGGAACTTCAATCTAAGTCTTTCCTCATACATGGTAACAACAATCAAACTGTCCCAATGATAGCTTCTGTCTTACTGGTGGCTCTCCATACCATACAGCATTTATCCCACCTACCACTGCCAAGGTTGGGTTTAGCTCCCCACCTCTACCACGTAGACCCCAATCCTACCTGTTTACAGTTGAAAGGACTATGGCTGAGGGAGCTCCCTCTCTGTTGTGTGGCCTAGCTTTCTAAAGGGCTACCAGTTCAAAGAAATGGGGCTGCCTAGCAGAGAGAGTACTCTCTCTGGGAGGGAAACAGTGGTGGTGGGGGGGAAATCACCGGCAGGAGTCAACTAAGTTGCTGTTTCATAATAGCACTTGGAAAATGGCACACTTCTGGAATGGAGCCAGGTAGTCCAGAGTCACTGAGTACCACAATCAATGTTGGGTGGGTTCTGGACCAGGTGAGGTAGAAAACAGATTCAAGGGCTGCAGCAATCTAGTGGGAGGGATATGAGAGAGAAATAGGCGGCGGGGAGGGAGCGCTGCAGCATCCCTGCATTTGGTTGTAAGGGCAAATGACTGTAAGAATGTCGTAGCAGCCCTAATTTTGAAACTGGGGCGTAAGTAGCTTTTGAAGGGTTTGTAATATATCTGGATGGTCACTAAGCTGAGGACTAGACATCTGTCTTGCAATTGTTTTCATAGGCATATATAAATACAGAGTCTTCATTCTGTTTTTTTCTCCCTGAAAAGCAAAATAGGGCATGTGCATACATACTAAGATAGTTATAAAAAGTTTCTAAAGCAGTCATGTGAATTTGGGAAAAGATCACTGATATTGAAATAATTGATTTTCTTATCACCACTCAATTTCACAGAAACTTGAAGATTCCCCAAGGCATGATTCTGTTAATAGAAACAGACTAGAAAGGTAAGAGACCTCAAAATTACCTTTGCAAATTCTATGACTGCAATGGAGAGCTTTGAGTATCGTTTTTCAAGAGGTTCTAACTCTTTGATTTCAGGCAATCTCACTCCAGCAAAGAGAGGATTTTTGTAGAATAACTCCTGGTGCTTTGGAATTAAGTTACCTAAAATTTATAATTGTTTATATCAATAACAAGACTTTAAAAGTATAACCTTGCATAAAAAATGAATAACTGGTTAGCCAGACAGATAAAAGCATAAACAAAAAGGCAGGATGCATTCTTACCTAGACTTTTCATAATATGGAATAATTGGTCAATATCAGAGTCTCCAGGGAAAAGGGGCTCTCCTGTAAGCATTTCAGTTACCAGGCAGCCAATGGCCCACACATCAACAGCCCTGCAAATAAAACATACTTATGAAGAATTAGCTCTGCCCTAATATTCTATTTATGACAATAGAAAAAGAAGTTTATTCTATTTGATTTTCTCCAAACAGAGTATATTACAACAATAATAATACTTTCAAAATTCTGCTTAGGCTACAATTCATCATAATGCTTATCCATTAATTTCCTTTTTCTTGTAAATGTATTTTAAAAATCAAAAAAAAAATTGGTCCTCCTTTTCAAGCTGGCTGCTGCTTGCTATGGTTTTATTTTATTTTTTTATCAATGATCTGCTGAATTCACTGCTAAAGCTGGTTCTTTTGCAGTGCTGCTTCCTGGTTTTGAATGGGAACACTTAGGAGTAACCCAAGATGTCTTTTGGACGATCGGTGACCCGGCATGGAAGGGGGGTCTTAAAGATGCCAATTCCATCTGGAAGCAATTGAAAAGTCACTGGGCATTCCATCTTCTTGTCAAGCATTTTCATTTTCTAAGCATGCAGGAATTATAACTTTCACTTTTTGACTTTATTGTTTTATTTTGTTTTTTGTTTAAAAGTTTATCAGTGATTGAATGCTAATTTATTTTAACTCCTTGCCAGAATATAATTGCTTTTTCTCTTTTTTCCTTCTGATAACTAATTTCGTTGTATTTATTTTGTACCATGACAATAAAGACTATACTATAAAGTTCTGGATAACCTCAGTCCCTTCCACTCAATCCACCACTGGATTCTGTATTTTTTGAATTTGCAAAATACCTGGGGTTAATTTCTGTTGAAATTTTCTTATAATTATGGGTTGAAATATAGAGGGAAATATTTCTTTGTTCATTTGTTCCCTGAGTTAAGTTCCACTGATTAAAATGGCTGAACAGTGTCTGAAAACTATGAATGGTGGGGAAATGTGCAGTTTATACCTGGTTTTCTCTTACATATACATAATCATACTTTAATGATTCTTCAAAGAACGTTACCACTTGAAGTTTTATCTTTCGATAAAGATACACAAAAAGACTTTGATCCAGTTCTAGAACACAGAGATAGTCTCATGCCTGAAGAACCAGAAAAGTGGCTGTTGTTCAGAAGTCTGTCTGAAGTCTTATGGCCTCAGCTAGAAGAGAGGGAGACAACTTCCTTTCTTCTATGAAGGAATCCCTTTCCTATATGAAAACAGAGGAATACTGGATGATTTTATTACAGTTTAGTGATAACTACTTCTGCTTGCACGCTGGCTCAAAGACATATTCTGGAGACTGAATTTACTACATTTAATTAAACAACAGTTGACAAGAGAGGATATTAAGTAACAGACATTTGACTCAGGACAATCTTTTGGGATGATCCGGGATAGTTAAGATACTGTGGTAAATTTTCTACGAGTGGATTTCAATAACAGCTTGTTAACAGAAAGATTTGGAACTTTAATTTTGTTCTGTTTTACTGTTATTGTTTTTCCAGTTAACTACTTTATCACTAATATAACATATAGAAGACAGATTAACGTTGCTAATGGATTTAGTAGTTTAAAAATTTGGGAGAGCCTGTTTTGCAAGGGATAGGAAGTAATTGTAGTAATATATTAATCAGTATTCAGCTAGAGGGGAATAATGTGTGTATAATGTGTGTTGTTGATACACCCTTTTTAATGTTCTGTTTTATGTTTTCTTCTCTTTTATGTCTTGTATTTTATTGAGTTTTGTATTTTAATGTTGTTCTGAATAAAATAAAAATATTTTAAAAAATCTAAGAATATTTTAATAATAAATTCTAAATTTCCTTACTTGCCATATTTGATATCACCAACTAACAGCTCAGGAGCTCGATACCAACGTGTTGCTACATAATCTGTATAAACTTCACCAGGAGCTGCCAGCGTTCGAGCAAATCCAAAATCACAGAGTTTGATAATTCCCGAACAGGAGACCAATATGTTTTCAGGTTTAATATCCCTGTGTATGATCTAAAAAAATATATTCATAGCTATGTTAGCAAAGTCACTATAAACCCATCATGGATAACCTTCCATAGAAAACATGTAGGTTCTGCCAGCTAACCTAGAGGACAGCCTACTTCACATTATTTGACAAATGGACTATTTGCAAAAAGTCCATCACAGATTAAAAGTTATTTTTCTAGAAGTACAAAAAAATCATACAACAAAATGTCTGCTAAAGAACTCCCTCTGTATTCCCATAACTGTAAAATATTGTGCTATCTCAAAGGAAGAATATGTAAATTTACTCACTTTATATGAGCCTACAAGTGATAAACATGCAGGATGTTCAGAAAATATTCACACAAGTATAATAATCTATCCTTGTCTTTGAAAGAATAGCTTTGTATACTAACCCTGAAGCAACTATTACATCACCAACTAATGAGGAAAAATATGACACTAATGTGTCATGTTTTCCACTTTCCACAAAGAATAGAAATCGAAAAAGGCACTTTTTTATTTCATTATTAGCTTATAGTTTCATACCTATATGTAAGAAACATGAAAATACAATTATCGGAACATTTTAAATCCTTGAAAATGTACATTTATTCTGAGATATAGAACTAGCATTTTTCTCAAAAATCCTATCAAGAAAATGGACAAACACAATTAAATAGACGCAGCAATTTACTTACATTATGACTATGACAAAATCCTACCCCTTTTATAATTTGAAATAAGTATTTTCGAACTCTATTATAATCCAAGCCATTGGGAAACATCTCAAGATCATCAAGGATTGTGTGATCTACAAATTCAAACACCAGATACCATCGTTTTTTCTTCTTACAGACTTCCAGCAAGTTCACCAAGTTCTCATGCCTTAATTGCTATCAGGAGACAGAAAGTGCGTCATAAAATTACAGTAATTGTCTATTGAAGAATATGTACATGAATATATAAATCATATAAATACTTCCAAATACTGTTCTGTGCATGTTTACTAGGTAATGGTACTAATGATTACTAATATTCACAAGTTATTATAGTCTCAATATTTACACAATCTCTTTTCCCTAACACTTTATAAATAATTTAACTAAGCAATCCATTACAACCAAAGTACATTTTCCCCCCAGAGATGATTCCCTAAAGGTAGAAATTTACTCCATTTATTTATTCAGCAAAATCTAACTGATAGAACAAACTTAAATACTTCTTTAATTCTGTGCCCTATTTATATTAGGCTATGACAATAAAATAAAATTATACAATATAATATAAAATAATATACATTTTAAAATGTTTTCATTTTCCAAATATTAGATTTCTCCAAATATTAGAACTAGATCTTGAAATCTATAGATAGTTTGGTACTATACAGTGATAATAAATAAAAGAGAAATTTTATTTTTTCTCTAACTAGCTAATAACTCTACAGCAACAAAATCATATCTCAGTAATTATCTAAAGACCAAACAAAACCCAGCTTTTTAAAATTTATGCTTTCTAGTTGAATAAATAGCGTATTTTCTATTAACTAGTTCCTTCTTACTAGCTCATTCTTACTGTTTTGCTTGTAATTCCCTTTAGTAATACTAATCTCCTTTCTCTAAAACAGTTTTCTATATACCTTTGTTTAATATTTCACCTGCTGGAGCCCTATTCACACTACATATTAATCATATTAATCATCACGTAGTTTGGATTTTGGTTTTAACAATTATGGTTAATAAACTATTATGACTTTTTTTGTTCTGGGAATCTAGCCAATGGAAATCAGACAAATGATGTATGAAACCAATCTAAACTAAACATAAGTAATAGCATTTGCATACATCCTTTTGGTATTACTTTACCTCTGCTATCTTCTGTATTTTTAATTTTTAATAAACATCACGAATGGCATTATAACAAAGACAAAAGGTCTATAAGATTACATAAATTGATATAAGTTGAAAGGCACTACAGATTTAAAAATATGAACTTATCATACATTATCTTACCTTGAGAAATTTTATTTCTCTCAGGGCAATTTTTTTAACCATTTTATCATCTTCACTTTCCAAAAATTTTTTGATGGCAACAACTCTGCCATTCTCCTTGTTTCTGCATTTCATCACCATTCCATAACTTCCTTCTCCCACAAGTCCAAGGATCTCATATTTTTCCATCTGTATTCAAACAAATGGGTAGCCTATAGCATACAATCAATACTCAGTGTACATTAGTTAATATAGCAATTATCACTGCAATTTTCTCATCGTGGTGGCTTCAAAGAGTACATTATATCCTTATATATAATTAATATTATAAGGAAAAGCCAAGGATTAAATATAAAATCCCGTAAGACTCCAAGGAATGAGGACTGCCTGATTTTGTGGCCTATTGCTTGGTTTGGATAAAGAAGTGGGTACTGCTGAGAAATAAAAAAAAAATTAGAACTAGAAGAGCACAACCTTTCTGTTACAGTAAAATATAAAATGTACTTGTAACTCCTATTTAAGAAGACCTGAAACCACTTCTTTATAACTTTTTCTTTTCTTTCTCCTTTCTATTTCTTTTCTACTTATTACTTTCCTTTATATTCCTTATTTTTATCTTTCAAACTTTATATTGTCTATTGTGCTTATTTTTTTAAAAAGTACTTATTTAATAAAAAATATATTTAAAAGAGAAAGTAATTAACATTGTTAGCTAGGACTCAAACTTTTATACTTAGTATCTAATAAAGGTAAAGGTTCCCCTGGCACATATGTGCTAGTCATCGACTTTAGAGGGTAGTACTTATCTCCGTTTCAAAACTGAAGAGCCAGCGCTGTCCGAAGACATCTCTGTGGTCATGTGGCTGGCATAACTAAATGCCAAAGGCACACGGAACGCTGTTATCTTCCCACCAAAGGTGGTCCCTATTTTTCTACTTGCATTTTTACGTGCTTTCTAACTGCTAGGTTGGCAGAAACTGAGACAAGTAATGGGAGCTCACACCGTTACATGGCGCTAAGGATTTGAACCACCAAACTGCCCACCTTTCTCATCAACAAGCTTAGCATCTTAGCCACTGAGCCACTCTTACAGTATCTAATAAGAAAAGCAATTATTTTAAAAGTCACTAGAAACACAAATATACATCCTTGATTAAATAAAGTTGATTTTAGAAACATACAAAGGTAATACATATCATTAATCTTCACTTTGCAAGAAAAAAAGAGAAGTAATCAAACAATGAGTATATGAGGAAAACATAATGGTATAATTATAGACACTTGCCAATAGATGTTGAACATTTAATGAACTAAACTAGAATTGAAATATGTTTTAAGATTTCTACCAAAGGGGGGAACTGTTTTTACCTTGTTCACTTCAGTAGACTGATCTGAAGACAATGAAATAAATGGAACAAATCATAATGTCTCCTTGACTTTATCTGGTTCAGCTTCATTAGTTTTACAAACACTGTGTGTTCACAGTGCAAATATTATGTCACATTTTGTATTTATATTCAATATTTCTATTTTTTGTTTAATTAAAATAATGCTGAGGAGAATTTACAACAAAAAAATTAGGGACACATTAAAAAAATCCTAAATTAAAAAAACAAATAGATGAAAGTCTGCAATTTCATCATAAAATTATACTATTAAGGGGGGGAGGGAGCAAGTAAACTATGCTTCATATATACTACAAAGATATGAGTGGAAAATGTGTGAATCCATCTGAAATTTATTTTGTCATTCCCAGAAATTCTGATTTAGCCTGACTGTACTCTCACAGGGCAGCAGCTACAATACAAATTGTAATACAAGTGTTTTACCTATGTTTAAAAGTATGTCATTTCAAAGGCACTTCCAATAAAAATATGCAGTCCAAAATGTCTAGCAATGTGTTTTTAACCAATATTGAATGGAATGCAAAAGTACAGTTTTAGCAGAGTTTTCATCGGAAGGGAGTCTTTCCTACTATCTCCCTTAATAAAACCCAATCACCATTGAAAATAAGCATTATACAAACAAGATATGTATCTTTGGTTTAGATGTTTTTATTCCACCTATTTTTTAATAAATAAACTTAAGAGGGGGAACATACCAATTACTACTCATTCTTCTTCCTATTTGCTCCACAAAAATACCCTGCAATGTGAATTGGACAGAGAGATATTGGCCATGAGGCAGCCAGCCAGTTTTCTTGCCTATGTTGAGCTAAAGCTCGGTTTCTTTGTTTTTTACCCAGGTGCCTTAACTGAATCAAATTGACTCAAGCCATGGTTTTATGTCCAAGAAAGCTGGATCACTACTATGAAAGGCTGTATGAAAAAAAAAATGTTCCTTTGAATTAGGAATCTAGATAGTGGAATTTAGAAAGTGGGGAGAGTAAACAATCAGCAAGATGATGGATGGAGTGAGATTTGCCGTTTGGAGCATTCATGAAATGGCACACCTACGAAGGCAGCAACAGAAAGTGTTATGATGCAAGCCCCATTTTGCTGATTATAACTTCACCCCCTCCCCGCACGTATCTAATTGCAGCTCCTGAAGAAAACTGAAAAATGACTTCGAAAAATAGTTTAATATCCGGAGAAGTAAAATTAAGCGATCTGGAAGCATATTATAGTGCCTGTCGCAATCAATGCAGTACTGTGATAGGTTTAGAAGATACACAAAATACAAAACAAAATGACAAACTAGCCTCTAGTATTTTTTTTTAAAAAGTCCATTTCTATCTTGAGCCACCAATAGGAGGTCCTAAAATACCAGCCTTAGTAGGACTTCCAAAACAGCAAAGCTACTGTTTAAATCACATGCCATCTTGGTTACTTGCTGTCAGCCAGACTCACCATCCACGTAGGGTACGATTTTCAAGTGGACATTCCACGTTTGATTTGAGAGACTGGAGAACCGCAATCTCCTAATTAAACTACAAAACTGAAAGGATCTCATCCCATATTTTCACGTAGATATTTAAAGCGGGGAGCGGTATAAATTCCTACAGGATTACCACTCTATTAGAGCTCCGTCTAGAGCCCGCTCTTCCGGAGCCACTCTCCGAGTTGCCTTTCTGGCAGGACTGGGGTGTCCGGGACAGGAAGGTCAGTGAGGAGTTAAGAGTACGCTGTCGAAAAGACCTACACCATAAATCTTACTGCAGGCCTTGTTACATCACTGTCCTAAAGCCGCCTTCCTCTTGGCAAAACAGTAACACTATCTGAATATAAAATCCAGATTGCACTATTTCTGATTCTGGAGTTATTTGCACCTGCAGCTGTGGACGCAACTCACCGAGCCTGTTCCGCTTGCAAAGTTCCCTGGCGAAGCTTGCCCGTGCCTACCACCATCACCCACTCAGCTGCAAGGCTTCTTGGGGAGCCACAAATCAATGGAAAGAAGTGTGGGATCCGCACAACGCGAATTTAGCGGCGGCTGCGAGAATGGAACGCAAAGGCCCAGGCAGTAACCAATGGCAACAGTCTGCTTGCTCTTGCACAACACATAGCAAGAGCAGGAGCCGATGCACGCCGCCAGGGAAGGAGGGGCAACTCCAGACTCTGATGGAAGAGGTATCAGTGAAGATTCTGGTCTTCCTATGCTCTGAGGCAAATATGCAGTTAATAATAAGGTTGAAGGATCTTTAGTCAATATAAAAGCAAGTGCCGTTTTACAAGGATGGAGAGTAGATCAGTCAGAAAAAGGGATCCCAAGACGTGAGGAAGAAAAATTAGCCAGGGACATGTAACAAAATCTAGACTTCGTGGTTAATGACAAAGGAATACCTTTCCCTGTTTCTCTTTTCCCTCTCCTTTTTACTTTGCGGCAGAGACAATGGTAGGATATGGCTGCGCAAAACTTGGGCTCGGACAAGTTGGAAAAAGGAGAAGGGAATTTCCGGTGGTTTGAAGGATGCTCCAATTCTTTTAGTGATGAAAAGTTCAGAGACTCGAAGGCAGGATAGATGCAGTTGCCCCGAGCGTGGCACTATCGCCTTTTCCTTCTTTTCCTCTTCGGAGCAGAAGTTTTTTTTAACTGTGCCTCATTTCTCCCAAGGCTACTGTTTCCCCAAGATGGAACATCATAATAGAAATGGGGCTCTGAGAATTTAAATGGGGGGATCTCACTGTTCCTAAGGGTAGAAACAACCCACTATAGCTTAAAAAACATCCAACAGCTATTTCGGTCCCTGATCATCTTAATACAAAATCAGGTCTGACCTCATTTGAAGTGAGAAAATAACTCATTCCTTTTGGTGCCAAAGCCCGAGAACTCTGGCTGGCATTTGGAACATGAGAAGGTTTCCATTTCCCCAATATGCCCTTTTAATACATTAAAGTGCCTAAAACAACCATATAAATTACAAGAGATTAAACAAGGTTTGGGCAGATCAGCTGCAATCCACCTTGACAAAGCAATTCACTTTGAGAGCATGAGCCCTTCCTCAGACAGTCTTATCCCCTCTTGTATATTACCACTGAACCATCATGTGATACTAACAATCCCAGTCTTCCTAAATAGGTCTGATCTCATTCCCAGTCCATGATTTGAACCTCCCTAAATTGTCAGTAACCGAAGAATACCTATATAAAACTAGTTTCCTCCCCAACAAAACAATGTTAGCATCACCGATTACACTTTCTGAAGTTATATTGTGTAAATGTGTAATTCTTCAAAGGAAAACCAGCATATTTTTTGTTTTGTTTTTAACCCTTCTTGTGTTTCTGGGTGGTTTTTTTAATGTGTAACTTTTCCATTACTTGTTCTCAGACCACAAATAAATAAAGTTGTACCTGCTGCTGCTATTATTATATTTAATGCTTTACCAGACATTATTTTAGAGGCTAGATCAGGAGATCTCTTCTAACTATAAGCAGAGAGGAAGCAGTGTGCTCTGTCCCATTGTTGGGTAGGCCAGGTTGCGCTGATAGACTGGCCTCACTAGGGGAAAAACACTTATAAGCTGAGGGGTGCTTGGGAAACATTGGGAGTTGCAGGCATCCTCCTTCCCTTCTGATCACTAGCATGCCTCTATCATTTTGCTCACCTTGTTCAGCAGCACTTTGTGTACTTCTACAGATGATTTCTTCCACTTTAGGTGTTTTGAAAAAAAAAACTTTTCCAAAAGGTATGGAGAGCAGTATTTTATTATATTTAATTTGATAACATTGTAGTAGCATTGTTCCAGTTCC